AAAATAAACTATTCTATTTATAAATACCTTAAAGTTGAAGAGTAATAACACTCTTTCATAACTCTTATACCCGAATAGCACCATCGTCTCATTTTGGTGCTCACAGCAGGGGGATCAACACAATCGTTGAATCCCGAAGTGACACGAACCTAAAGAAAAGAAGAAGAAGTCGCGACAAGAGGATCATCAAAAAGAAGATAGATCCCAAAGAGCAACGAACTAAATAACGACAATTAATTAAATGCATGCAAAAATCGTTATACAACATACATATTACCTTAGTAAAGAAACTTTACAAAATTAAAAGAAAACGAAATCGAAATTGACCTTGACGATCACATCGACGAACAAATAATCACCGCCTACGTTGTTGGAGAGAACGGTTACGAAATCCGATCTCAACGAATCCAAAAATTAAGTTACGGTAGGGAAGATCCACGATATCTGTCGGAAGGAGAATATTAATCCTATTTAATGCCTAAAGAAGGCAATAAAAGAAAATTTAGTATATTCGCGTGCGAACTATCACATATAATCACTGTTAAACAATTATACTCGGAAAGAAAAGTCCAACAACACCAAATCTACAACGAAAACGTCAGGAAGCTCGTAAATATTATTACCTGGACCGAATTCGGAAAAATAATCAGAAAGAAATTCGTAGAGAGATTAATATCTGTCATTTTTGATATACCGGCCATCTTAAAACACAACTGATTAAATAATCAATATTCTATTGTTGAGTGATGAAAATCAAAAGAAAATTATTCTTAGAAACTATTCACCACCGTGGTGATCACTCAAAAAGATATCCACGAAAATGGTCAAATACTATACGAAAAACTTAAACTTTACTTCCAATTTGATGGCTCACCACTATTAAAAATACTCTTCGAATCATATCATCGTAAAGGAATCAGATTCCACGAAACTGGAAACCCAATAGAGGAAAGAAATCAACGAGTTTTTATCAAACAAATTCAACTAGAATTACCAACCAACGGATGGAGCCAATATATTCAAGAATATCTTCACCAGTTATACGAAGATATACATTGGTTTTGTGAATCGAAATTATCAAAGCTTTATGTTGAACGAGAATTAAGCTCAGACTCAATTATTCAACTACAGGGAGAACAGTCCTTATTTGAATCCAGTTCCGAAGAAATATCAAACGAAGAGTACCAAAAGTTGACAAATACAACATTTGGAACAGACCATCCAAATGTTGGTAGCCGAGCAAAGGGAAATGAGACGTGAGAAAGACCAGATGAAAAACGAAATAAAATACTATTATTATGGAAGAATAGGACATATTAAACAAAATTGTCGCATTATGCAAGCAAAACAACAAAATAGAAATCAGTACACTAATCAAAATAGGCTGAATAATAATTATTATCAACAGAATTATCGTTACACATCACCGGTGTATAATCGATCACCACCAATTAGGTGGGAAACTCGAGAAAACAAACAATTCCAACGATATCCAATCCCGAATGTCAATATGAGACAAAATGAAGGATATCAATCGTGAAATAATGCTAGAAGAAATGAACAAAATCGACCTAATCAATACAATCAAAGAAGTCCAAATCAGAACCAACAACAAAACAATTATCGAACAAATAATAATCGCAACAATCAAAGAACTTATCTGAATCTGGGACAAGAACCAGAAGATCCTATCATAATCAAAAGTCCAAATGAATCCGAGACCGAAGAATCTAACGAAGAAAAGTCCGAAATTGAGACTGAAGAATCTGAAGATAATTCGATTATGACTTTAGTAGCCACGTCTCCAAGAAAAAAGATTATAGCTATGACAACAGACGTTGAAGTCGATGGAGTAGAATTCAAATTAATCATCGACTCAGGATCTGCTGGAAGTATTGTTACTAAGAGATTACTAGAGAAGTTGAAACGATCAATTGATAGACCTACAAACACCAGTATTATAACAGCCAACGGAGAACAAACTATCCCCATGGGAGAAATCGATGACCTACCTTTTGTCGTAGCCAGAATTAAAATTCTGATTAAAGTCTTAGTCGTTGACGCTCCACAATATCTTGCACTCATAGGAAATGACTGGCTCGGAAAGGCTCACGCTAATTTAGACTATTATAGTAATTGGTTGTCTATCTCCTATAATGGACAAGAAACTACAGTACCAATTAGCTACTATAAACATAAAGAATTAGAGCAAGATCCATTCAAACCTATGGTTGAGTACCAGGTAAAAACGATGGACGAATTAATAAATCGAAGAAACATCGCTCTAAGAAACAACACGACCCCACAAAAAGGAAAACAACGGTGGAGACGACCGAAACTTGAATGCGCTGAATGTGGGAAGAAATTATCTTCCATGACAGCCACCCTCCACCCTGACGAGATTCCAAGCCAAGAAACTCATTATTACTGTAATAAATGTAATAATCGATGTTTCAGTTATTTCGAGAACAAAGGATTATGGGACGGAACTCTCTGTCTTACCTGTGGGACAGTCATGCCTACCAAGTACGATTGGATGGACTTCTCCAGAAAAGGAGCCGTATGTGATTTCACCTGCCAATACGCCTATTTAGTAGTAGAATGGACTAAAGAAGGAACACCTTTTCAACAAGCTTATTGGAAAGCAATAAACCATCTCGAACGTGGACTCTATCCGCATGATTCCGAGAAAATCAAACAATTAGCAAATGGAATGTTACGAGGAGCAACCCGAGAGGAAGTTCGAGAAATGAAAGACCAAGAATATTATACTTACATTGACGAAGTAGCCGGATATAATTGGCTTGACGATACTATCATATTCCACGAAAATTATCAACAATTGTGTCCAACTCGGTGGGAACAAGAACAAAGACTAGGAAGAATGGGACTCACCTTATGCGAAGAATGTCGAATGCCGTGTCAAGACCAATATTGTGATGAATGTTGGCCAGAAATGATCCCTATTCCAGATGAAGAATGGACAGATCCATTTGATTGGTTTGAAGAAACAGAAGAAATATACGAAGTTTTACTTGATCGCCCCATACCTATTGATTTCAAAGAATATGAGCCAATGAAATCCACAAAACGCAAACAAAAGAAGAAGAAAACAACATTAAAATATTACAATGACCAGAACTTAGGGTTACAACCTGAGAAAGCCCACTCCAAAGATGCTGAATTCAATTTAAAATATCCAGGAAAGGAAACATTAGTACTACCATCTCGAACAGTTACGACAATCAATTTGAAAATTGCAGTAGAAGTCTCTCAAGGATCCATGATGCAATTAGCATCCCGATTCTCTCTCGCTGCAAAAGGAATAACGGTAAAAGGAGGTGTAATTGATGCTGGATATGTAGGAAATATAGGATTTATATTGGAAAACAATTCAAAAACACCTTATAAAATTCAGCCTAATGAAAAGATTGGCCAAGCAATTTACTTACCAATCTTGCCTGTGT